AAAAACCAAAAAAAAAAAAAATCTCAGCTCTGCTAACTTTCTGAACTCACCTCTGCAACCTGGGGCCCATGGTCTCGGCTGGTGAGCGCCTGCCTCCCTTCCTCACAGGACAGTTAGCATGTGTCTCCTTGCAAAGCCAAGGTAATATCTCTGCAGCTCAAGCACCTGATGTTGAGAAATCTGAAAGCACGGGGTGGTGGCAGTGCATGCCTTTAATTCCAGCACTCGGGAGGCAGAGACAGGTGGATCTTTATGAGTTCAAGGCCAACTTGGTCTATAAACCTAGTTCCAGGACATCCAAGACTACAAAAAGAAATCCTGTCTCAAAAAACAAACAAAAATAAAAAAAAGGAAAGAGAAGAAAAGAAAAACAAACAAACAAACAAAAAACTCTGAGACAAACATCACTAACCAAGGGGACCCATCAAAGTGCAGTGGATATTAGCAATGTTTATGGATTCACTCATTTGTTACACTTTATTTTATGTGTATGGGCGTTACATGTATGCACACACACACACACACACACACACACACACACACACACGTGTATCATGTGTATGTCTGGTGCCCACAGAGGGCAGAAGACAATGCAGGATCCTGATAATAGGAATGGATGGTCGTAAGCCACCGTGTGGGTGGTAAGAAGATAACTTGGGTCTTCTGTAAGAACCTCAGGTACTCTTAACTGCTGAGCCATTTGTCCAGCCCCCTCACCAACTTTTTGACAGCACATATAGTTGTATAAAAGAAAAGGTTGGGCGGTGGTGGCACAAGCCTTTGGCACTCGGGAGGCAGAGGTGGATCCCTGTGAGTTCGAGGCCAGCCTGGTCTACAAGAGCCAGTTTCAGGACAGCCAGGGCTACACAGAGAAACCCTGTCTTGGAAAAGAAAAGAAAAAGAATGTGGTCCTGCCCCCTTCTCTTGAGTCTTCCTTCTCAAGCCTCCCAGCTGAGCGTACCTCCCCCACTGCCTGTCACGTGACTGGCCTTGCTGTCCAGTCCTTCCTATGGCCTCTTCATATCCCATAGAGGCCCTCAGCCACTGACTGTGTCCCACCTCAGCATCCTCAGACTGTGTGTCCCAGAGGACAGGGAGGGGAGACTGTCACAGCTGAAGTCTGGGCTGAAGAGGTAGCCTAGAAAGAGGAGCATTAACTGAATATGGTGGAGCATACCTTTAAACTCAGCACTCCCGAGGTAAATGGAAAAGAATCAGGGGTTTAAGGTCTGTAAGAGGCCCTTTCTTAAAAACAAACAAACAAAAAACTCCAAAGCTGGGCTGTGGTGGTACATACCTCTAATCCCAGCCCTCAGGAGAAAGAGGAAGACGGATCTCTGTGAGTTCAATGTCAGAGTGAGCTCCAGGGCAGGCTCCAAAGCTACTCAGAGAAACTCTGTCTCAGAAAAAAAAAAAAAAAAAGGAAACAACAGCAACAACAAAATCTGGAACTGTAGGGAATGCCTTTAATTCTAGTATTTAGGAGTCAGAGTCAGGTGGATCTCTGTGAGTTCAAGGCCACCACGGTCTGCTTACACAGAAAATCCACATCTGCTGGAGACACATAGTAAGACCTTTTCTCAAGTGGTTAATAACCCAATGAGTAGCGTGAGTTTGGATCCCAGCCCATGTAAAAATCTGGGCATGGCTACGCACTGTACTTACTTATTGTAACCATGCCATTGGTGGAAGAAGGGAACAGAGACAAGCAGACCGCCAGAGCTTGCTGACCAACCAGCCTAGCCAATTACGGTGCTCCAGAGTTAGCGAAGACAACTTGTCGCTGGAGAGATTGCTGAGTGGTTTAGAGCACTGGCTGTTCTTCCAGGGGACCCAGGTTCAAGTCTCAGAACCTGGTACCCACATGGCAGCTCCCAATCACCTGTGACTGCAGTTCAGTTCCAGGGGATCCTGCGTTCTTTCTGGCCTCTGTGGGCACTGTACGGACTTGGAGCGCAGACATATAGGCCAGTGCAACACCCATACACATAAAATGCAAATAAATAAACCTTTAAATTAAAATGGGGGCTGGAAGGATAGTCTCTCGGAGGTCAAGGGCACTGGCTGCTCTTCCAGAGGACCCAGGTTCAATTCCCAGCGCCCACATGGCAGCTCACAAGCGTCTGTAACTCCGGTTTCAGGGGACCTGATGCCTCCTTCTGATTTCTGTAGGTGGGCGCTTGCATGTATATGATGCACATACATACACTCAGGCACACACACATAAAATAAAATATGCTTAAATAATTTTTAGAAAGATAAACAGTGATAGAGAAAGACATCTGGCACTGGCCTCTGGCCTCCATGCTTAGCTGCACGTTTGCATGAATAGACAGGAACACATACATGCATACATACATACATTTATGCATACATACATACATACATGCCAACATACCTTTGTTTTGTTTTGTGTTTTGGTTTTTCAAGACATGGTTTCTCTGTATAGCTTTGGAGCCTGTCCTGGAACTCACTCTGTAGACCAGGCTGGCCTCGAACTCACAGAGATCCACCTGTCTCTGCCACCCAAGTGCTGGGATTAAAGGCATGCGCCACCAAGGCCCAGTGTAAACATACCTTAAAAAGTAATTTTTAGGGCAGGAGAGATGGCCCAGAGGTTATGAGCACTGATTGCTCTTCCAGAGGTCCTGAGTTCAATTCCCAGCAACCACATGATGGCTCACAACCGTCTGTAATGAGATCTGGTGCCCTCTTCTGGCATGCAGGAAGAATGCTGTTGACATAATAAATAAATCTTTTTAAATGTAATTTTTAAAAAGACAAGGGTCAAAAACTGAAGGCCACATGCCAGTGGAGGCCAGGGTGGATCTGGCAAGGGCACAGGGTTTCTCCTCTCTGGTCAGAGATGGTGCTCAGTACGCACAGTAATTACTGCACAGTAATATTCTGATAGAATGATGTATAAACTGGGACCCGAGGAAAAGGGGCTACAGGAGGAGGAGAGCATTGCAGGAAGCACTTTTGATGTCAGGGCAGATGGCTGGGGAAGTCTGGGCCCCACTTCAGCAACCCCCAGACCTGTATCTGTACCCCAAGGGCAGCAGGCAGCAATGCGAACCATGTCAGAAGGATGTGGGCTGACCTCTGAAAACCAGTGGAGAGGTCCCAGGCTTGGGACAGGAAGACAGATGGAGAAGAGGGGTGGCTGTGTGCTGAGAAGCCAGCACCTGGGGACAACCAAGGGCAGGTGGCCCAGGCTGGCTCTTGTCTTTCCCCCAGATAGTGACAATCCACCAAGAGCCCTTCGTGTATGTCAAGCCCACACTGAGTGACGGCACGTGCAAAGAGGAATTCACAGTCAACGGTGACCCAGTGAAGAAAGTGATCTGCACAGGGCCCAATGACACATCACCAGGCAGCCGTGAGTGCTGGGCAGGGTGTGGTAGGGTACCGGGCAGTGAAATCAGGACCCCGTTGTTACTGTTCCCTCACTGCCCCCAGCACGCCACACGGTACCTCAGTGCTGCTATGGCTTCTGCATTGACCTGCTCATCAAGCTGGCACGGACCATGAACTTTACCTATGAGGTGCACCTGGTGGCGGATGGCAAGTTTGGCACACAGGAACGGGTATGGAGGAAGGGTTAACGGGAGGGTCCTGTGGGCTGACGCGGATTAAAGTCTATGGGATGGGTAGAGCCTTTTAGGGAGGGGCCTGTTGGCTGGGGCTGGGCTTTGGAGGTGAGCTAGGTATGGAGCAGGAGACTCCATACCTAGCTCATGTCCCCCGTGTGCTAGGACGAAGATGGTGTAGGGGTTCTGGTTCCAGGGACCACACCCGCCCTGTCTGCAGCCCCACTGGCTCTCTCTCGGCAGGTAAACAACAGCAACAAAAAGGAGTGGAACGGGATGATGGGAGAGCTGCTCAGCGGCCAGGCAGACATGATCGTGGCACCGCTGACCATCAACAACGAGCGTGCCCAGTACATAGAGTTCTCCAAGCCCTTCAAGTACCAGGGCCTGACCATTCTGGTCAAGAAGGTAGGAGGGGATCGGGCGGGGATGGGATGGCGTCCTGGAGGAGCAGGCAACGCTGACTACTTGATCCCTGCAGGAGATCCCCCGGAGCACGCTGGATTCATTTATGCAGCCCTTTCAGAGCACACTGTGGTTGCTAGTGGGGTTGTCGGTGCACGTGGTGGCTGTGATGTTGTATCTGCTGGACCGCTTCAGGTGAGCGCCATGCGGAGAGCTGGACCCTTCGCCTCTGCAGGGTGGGCAGAACTGGGCAGGGCTGGGCAGGGCTGCCCCTCCTGTCCTCTCTCCCGCTCTCTCTCCCGCCTTCCCTTTGCACTCTGCAGCCCATTTGGCCGGTTCAAGGTGAACAGTGAGGAGGAGGAGGAGGACGCGCTGACCCTGTCCTCTGCCATGTGGTTCTCCTGGGGTGTCCTGCTCAACTCTGGCATTGGGGAAGGTGAGATCAACCCAGGCCCTGCCCGGCTACATCCCCTGCTTTCCAGGAACTGACCCAAGCCTCTGCCCACAGGTGCCCCCCGGAGCTTCTCCGCACGGATCCTAGGCATGGTGTGGGCTGGTTTTGCCATGATCATTGTGGCTTCCTATACTGCCAACCTGGCAGCCTTCCTGGTGCTGGATCGGCCTGAGGAGCGTATCACGGGCATCAATGACCCGAGGGTGAGGCTTCCAGGCTTGGGAGAGGGGTCAAGAAGAGGTTCAGAGGGAGTGTTGTTCCCTGGTGGGGTCTGGGGAGCAGCCATGAGCTGAGGTCTCTGTCCCTGCAGCTCAGAAACCCCTCAGACAAGTTCATCTATGCCACTGTGAAGCAGAGTTCTGTGGACATCTACTTCAGGAGGCAGGTGGAGTTGAGCACCATGTACCGGCACATGGAAAAACACAACTATGAGAGTGCGGCTGAGGCCATCCAGGCCGTGCGGGACAAGTGAGCAAGCCAACGAAAGGCCACCCCGGCTGGGTGGGGCAGTAAAGGGACAGGCAAGGGGGAGTCCACTCAGCAGGAAACACAGGTGAAGAGTGTCTGTACTGGTGTGAGCAGGGTGGGGTGAACAGGCTATGCGGGGCTCCTTTGATTCCATCTCTGCCGGCAGCAAGCTCCACGCCTTCATCTGGGACTCGGCAGTGCTGGAGTTCGAGGCTTCGCAGAAGTGTGACCTGGTGACCACGGGCGAGCTGTTCTTCCGCTCAGGGTTCGGCATTGGCATGCGCAAGGACAGCCCCTGGAAGCAGAATGTCTCCCTGTCCATACTCAAGTGAGTTTGCCCTCTGCTGGAGACCTCCTTCCCCTTCTCCACTTCGCTCTAAGAGACTCCCCACAAGGCTGGACCTTGTCCCTAGTGCCCCGGGGACAACACACAAAACCCGCCCTACCCCAGGCGGGCAGCTGTTCACCAGACGCTGATACCGTCTGGTACAACTCCACCCAAACCAGGCATCGGCCCATGGGAGAACCTTCCCACTCCCAGCCCAGCAAAGGCGTCCTCGACTCCCAAAGCCTCACTTGGGACGGAAAAGTCTGTCCCACAGTACTGCCTCCCCGGTGAGGCCTGCCCATTCCCAGTCCTCCCCCTGAATGCCCTGCACACTCACACAGCCCCTTTCCTAGATGCAAGCCCTACCCATTTCCAGTCCCACTCCTGCTGCAAGCCCCGCCTTCCCTCTCCCCTCCCCAGGTCCCATGAGAACGGTTTCATGGAAGATCTGGATAAGACATGGGTTCGGTATCAGGAATGCGACTCCCGCAGCAATGCTCCTGCAACTCTCACTTTTGAGAACATGGCAGGTGGGCCCTCCGTGCTGCCTTGATGCTGGGATGGATTCTCTAGGGGCTACAGCCTCTGGGCAGCCAGCTGAGGTACTGGGTACTTTACGCAGGGGTCTTCATGCTGGTGGCTGGAGGCATCGTGGCTGGCATCTTCCTGATTTTCATCGAGATCGCCTACAAGCGACACAAGGATGCCCGTAGGAAGCAGATGCAGCTGGCTTTTGCAGCAGTAAACGTGTGGAGGAAGAACCTGCAGGTAGGGCAGGCCACCCTCCGAGGCCTGGCGTCCAGGGCCCCGCCAGGCCACGGCCCTACTCTACCCCTACAGGCCGTGGCACTGGCTCTGGCTCATGGGCAGGACTGGTGCTAGGAGCCATGGCCAGGGGCAGTGGTGAGTGTTCCCAAGGCACAGGGGCAGCACAGGCAGGGGCTGCCTGCAGGTGGCCACCCACTGCCACGCTGGGCCAAGGGAGGCCATGCACCCTGCTCCAAACTTCTGCCTGGCCCCTCTGTTTCCAGAGTCACCTACTGGCACCCAATCCATAGGAAGGCAAGCAGGCAGGGTAAGACAAGGGCCCACCTGTGTGTAGCACGTGATCCGAGATGCATTTGGCCCATCCAAGCTTCTTTGACTCCCCCTCCTGAGACCCCTTTTCTTGCTGTGTCCTGCTCTGTGACTCCAATCTAAGTGGGGCTGATCTGCCTCTCCCTGGGGCCTCCCTCTGGCCACATCCATGTGGATTTGTGGCTGGCAGTGGTGAGGTTGCATGTGGGATGTAAGAGCCCACCACGGAAAGGGAAAGGGTGGGCAGTGAGGTTCATGCAGGCCTGAAGACTAGTGGCCAATGGCCAGGTTCCGATTCACTTGTCTCTTCTCTCTCTCTGGGTGTCTTCCTGTAGCTGTGTCCTGAGCTGACATTGCCATTGCCATGAGGGCTGTGGGGGGGGGACAGGGCTATTGGAACCCCCACATCTCTCATCCACCCATTCTTGCTTTTGGCCCTACAGGTCCCCTGGGGACCTGGCCACAGCTGTCCAGGGTCATGCTGGCCATCAGACTCCAGGCCGGTGCCCCCCGGATCTGCCTGTCTATCACTCCAGTTCCAACTGGACACCTCCTTGGGTCCTTGGCCCCTTCCTGGTGTGTGCCTTTTGGGTTCAGCAGCCTCTGAGCAGAAGGGCTGGTGTGGCCTGAGAGGAAGCTCTTCCTGTCCTCAGGGGCTCCTCCTCCTCAGGATGCCTCTAAGCCAGGGCCACCCAGGAGCCAGGGAGCCAGGCGGACATCCCAGGAAGAGTGCCAGCAGGACCCCCCAGCCCAGCCCCAGCACCAGCAAGGACAGGCCCAACCCCGGGCAGAAGAGGCCACTCTCCAAAACCTGGCTGTTGGTCGCCTGTGCAGCGCAGTGAGGCAGGCAGGAGTCAGGGCCTGAGTGGCCGGCCAGGCCTGGCAGCCGCCCCCAGGAGCAGGCAAGGGCAGGTGTGGCCGTCACCCTTAGCCATCTAATCACTTATACATATTCATTTTAGGATAGAAAGAGTGGTAGAGCAGAGCCCGACCCTAAAAAGAAAGCCACATTTAGGGCTATCACCTCCACCCTGGCCTCCAGCTTCAAGAGACGTAGGTCCTCCAAAGACACGGTAAGGGGGAAGCACCCCAGTCCCGCGTCTCTGACTCCTCCCTCGCCCCATGTCTGTCTCCCTCTCCCTCGCCATCCCACCCCTGCCCCCACCTCCAGCCCTGGCCGTCTGTGCCGACGCCCCAAGTCAGTCCTCCACCCGCCCCTCCACCCACACAAGGGTGCTGTCCTTCAGAACTCTCCAGAACCCTCCTCAAGCCCTCACTGGTCCTCAGCTTCCCCCATGTGTCTCCACGTTAGTCTGCCCACCTCCCTCCCCATGCCATGACCCACACGCCATCCGGAAGCCGTGTCATGTTGTTGGTCAGTCAGTCAGCCTCGCCATCTCTCTGGGCCACCCAGAACCTGGGGACCAGAACAGCCCTGTCCCAGGTTGTCCCTGTCAGGAGGCCACACACCACGTCTGTTTCATCCCTGTTTCTCTTGCCTCCACAAGGGGTTGGATGCCTTCATCCTTGCCCTGCAACAGCCCTGGAGGGTGGAGCTGTGATGTCCCATCCCGTCCGTCTGTCTGGCCACTGGCCCCGCCCCCCAGACACCTGTCTCACCTGTCTCACCAGAGCCATGCGTGTTGCATCTTCCATGTGGTCTCTGTGTGGGCCGGGGGCTGGGGGCCGGGCCGGGGTCCGTCTGGGTGGACGGCTGGGGCCTCGCACTGGCACTGACCCTTGGTGACAGGGAGACTGTCAGGTGGGGAGGGGGGCGGGGCCAACTTGAACAGGTCCCTGATGGAGGTGTTGCAGCAGGGCCCGGGGTGATCTAGGCATGGACCGGGTATCCCTGAAAGGCCTGGCCTGGGCACCCGGGGAAACACTGGTGTTCTCAGAAGGAGGCCCAGGAAGAGGAGGCTAAGGCCGCGTGCCAGTTCAGACCCCCAAGCACTGCCACAAGGCCACTGTCAGAGCCCGACCTTCTGCCTTCAGAGCCAGAACCCCGTCCCCTGCCTTGGGCAGCACGCCATTGCACCAGAAACGCATACTCACGAGAAAGTCCTTCCAGGAATCCATCCCCATTCTGCAAGTCACCCTGGTTCTCTAGGCAGTTACGCTCTAGTGGACAGGAAGCTCCTCTAAGCAGTGGGCAGTGTCACCCACAAGGGGCTTGTATCCCGTGAGGAATCTGGATTTGTAGTTAAACCCCTCGGCCCAGGAAGAAAGGCGCACAGACAGGATTTGGTACAGAGCAAAGTTCCAGGTTCAAACTACTAGAGCGCTCCAGAGAGACAGAGGTGTGGCTGCTCAGGTCCTCTGAGGGCCCCGGCACAGAAAGAGTGGATAAAGTTTAAGGGTCTGTACGCTGCACCGACGTGAGGCTCCAGGAGCTGGTGCAAATACAATCTCTAGGATCACCCAGACCAGGGAAAGTGGGCGCCACCTATGCTACAAGATCTGAGCCAGGATCTCCACAAGGGGGCGCAGGGGGGAGAGCAGGGCTGAGGGCACTGTGGGCTGGAACTTGTGTGGGAAAGGAGAAATCTGACAGAGAGGAGAATCTGTACTTCCGGGGCCAGGTGGCCGAAGTGGGAATAGTACAAAATTCCTGCAGGTGGCAGGTCATTTTCAGAGGGTGTCACTCAGTCTTGGGGCCCCTCCTGGAGCTGGCCAGGTACAGCTCAGAGATTTACATGGTTCCTTTCTGGGCACTTCTCAGTTCAGTCTTTACCTGAGCCTCCCTGGACACCAGGGACCCGTTCTTCCGGGCCATCTGAAGCTGGCCCCACCCTGCAGGGTTGACCTCTGGGCATTGCCACTGTGGGCTGGGTGGGGGAGGGCAACCCAGCTCCCACCCTGTCTCTGGGGCTGGGTGCTGTTCAGAGGGAGGCTTGGGTGGGGGCTCCTTTGGGTGGGGTGGGGTCGGTCCAGCTGCTGAGATCCTCTGCCCCTGTCCTGTGGCCGGTCCGGGCCAGGGCAGCACTGGGCGCTCAGGGCTGGGATCCCTGGTGGCCGGCGGGGGCCAGCAGGTATTGATTGTTGGTTCTTATTTATAGAGCACCGGGGGTGGACGCGGCGCTTTGCAAAACCAAAAAGACACAGTGCTGCCGCGACGCGCTATTGAGAGGGAGGAGGGCCAGCTGCAGCTGTGTTCCCGTCATAGGGAGAGCTGAGACGCCCCGCCCGCCCTCCTCTGCCCCTCCCCCGCAGACAGACAGACAGACGCACGGGACAGCGGCCTGGCCCACGCAGAACCCCGGAGCACGACGGGGTCGGGGGGAGGAGCACCCCCAGCCTCCCCCCAGGCCGTGCCCGCCTGCCCGCCGGTCGGCCGGCTGGCCGGTCCACCCTGTCCCGGCCCCGCGCGTGCCCCCGACGTCGGAGCTAATGGGCCGCCTTGTCTGTGTATTTCTATTTTACAGCAGTACCATCCCACTGATATCACGGGCCCGCTCAACCTCTCAGATCCCTCGGTCAGCACCGTGGTGTGAGGCCCCCGGAGGCGCCCACCTGCCCAGTTAGCCCGGCCAAGGACACTGATGAGTCCTGCTGCTCGGGAAGGCCTGAGGGAAGCCCACCCGCCCCAGAGACTGCCCACCCTGGGCCTCCCGTCCTCCTGCCCTGCTGCCTGGCGGGCAGCCCCTGCAGGACCGAGGTGCGGACCAGAGCGGCTGAGGATGGGCCAGAGCTGAGCCGGCTGGGCAGGGCCACAGGGCGCTCCGGCAGAGGCAGGGCCCTGGGGTCTCTGAGCAGTGGGGTGAGGGGCCTAAGTGGCCCCGGTCGGAGGGGTCTGGAGCAGAAATGGCAGCCCCCTCCTTCCTCCAGCCACCACCCTAAGCTACAGTGGGGGCCCACGGCCCCAGCTGGCTAGGTCACCCACCCACCTCTCATCCAGCGCCTGCTCTCTGCAACCTGAGTTCCACCTCTCTCTCCTGCTGCACCACCCTCCCACGACCCTCCCCCACCCCATTCTCAGGGCTGGCCCTGACCTTTCCCAGGGTCAGCCCTCACTGCCCTACTGGCAGCGCTTCCCAGGGGTGCTCTCTGGCTCCCAGCTGTCTAGGGCTCCAGACTCCAAGAGGGCTGAGCCTTCTCTTCTGCCTGCAGCCTCAATAGGCTTCCTCAGACGCTGGCTCGCAACGAGCCCCGCACCTTGGGCACCAGGGAGCGCCATCCGCCTCCCATTTGGTGTTACTCACCCACCACCTTGTACATGACCAGCTCTCCCAGTGTCCAAGCGCGTACCTTCCCCGTGCCGCTGGTGCGCAGGAGCGCGCTGCCCCTCTGCCCCAGGGACACCGGGCGTGCACAGCTACCCCTAACCCCGGTATTCAGTGGTGATGCCTAAAGGAATGTCAGAAATTTTCCGGTTTTCTGTCTATTGTTGACGCCTACAGGGAGCTTGAAGGGAGGCCAGGGATTTGGGGAGAGTTTTCAAAGTGCAGAACACTGCGGGAGCGCTTGGGTTGCCGCAGCTGCAGGTCTCCCAGGAACCTGCAGGGAGGCTGGGCCCGCAGGGTCTACCAGTCTCCTTAGTAAGGGGCGCACTACGGTACGACGGCGGCGCCGTGCACCACAGGCAGTGAGCACGGAGCCCAGCGCCAGGCAGACGGCCAGACTGGCAAGGAAAGAGACCGGCCCGAGAGCATATACCACCGCCAGGTCTCGCGCTGCGAGTGGCTGAGTGCAGTGTCTGAAGGCCGCGTCCGGAAAGGCTGTCAGTAGGCTGAGCGTCTGGCGTCTTGGAGACACGCAGAGCAGGTTCTCAGTTTCTGCGGGACACAGGAGCGGCGTCAGATGGCAGCAATTGCACCAAACATTATCCGTCCTGCGCCCCAGATGGCTCACCTGAAGCCGGACGCGGGTGCTTGTGCAGCCAGGTGCAAAGCGGGCGCAGCGCGCAACTGCACGCCCAGGGGTTGCCACGCAAGCGCAACACGTCGAGCGCGGGCAGGCTGTTCAGCAAACCCGCCTCGAGCGCCGACAGTGAATTGTCCTGCAGGCTGAGCACGCGCAGTAATGGGAGCGCGCCCAGGATCGAAGGCTCTAGGAGTGCCAACCGATTACCCGCAAGAGAGAGGAAACGCAGCGCGCGCAGCGGCGCGAAGGTGCCAGGAGACAGAGTTTCCAGCTGGTTGGCGCTCAGGTCCAGCCATTGCAACACGCCTAGACCCCAGAAAGCTCGTGCGTGCACCAACCGGAGCCGGTTCTCCCGCAAGTCTAGGTACAGCAGCGCGCCGGCCCCAGCGAAGGCACCTGGAGGCAGTGCACTCACGCGATTGTGATCCAGCAGCAGTGAACTTAGTCTCCAGCTCAGGCCGGTTGGTACTGCGGGCAGCTCGAGGGCAGAGCAATTGGCCTTGCCACCTAATGAACATGAACATGCCTCGGGGCACCCGGGGGCCACCGGAGATCTGGAAGGGGCAGTTCCAACGTGCTCCTGGGTCCAGACTCGCCTCAACGATAGCAGCAGCAGCAGCAGCAGCAGCAGCAGAGACAGTGGCTGCTGAAGCCGCGAGAAAGAAGAGCCTCCCATGGGGACAGCTCCAGAACACAAGGAGACCTAGATCTCTGTACCGCTTCGGAGTCCAGGTGCCCCAGAGTTTGAGTCTGCCTCACAAAAGTACTAGCTCTCCTATCAGAGCACAATAGTTTCTGTCCCACAGCTGGTTCCTTGCCTTGGGCGGGGGCTAGGCACAGGGCCAATGCCCAATACTGCCAGCCACCTGTCCAGAGCTCATCTTGGCTTGGCCCTGCGCCCGTGGTGGAGCTGATGAGACCACTGGACTCCCCACTGAGACCTAAAGAGCAGGATCAAACCCACCAGCTCCACACAAACTGCAACCCACAGTGTCTTGTCCATACCCAGTCTCAATTTCATTCCTTTTCAGCAAAAAGCCCCCGCAGAGACTGTTTAGTCTCTTGAGGGGATTGGTGGAGGTATAAGCACATCATGGGGTCTAAACACAAGGAAAGACCTTGACGTGTGGGAGGGAGGACACCTAAGGCGAACGAGTGAGTTCGTGAGAGCCGTTGCTTCAACCTCCTCATTGTGGAGCCCTTGAGGACAATGTCACTGGAAAGGAGTGCTGGCCCAAGGCTGGTCAATGCAGCTCCCCTTTGACTTGCCAGTTACGGGTCCTGTCTTGGGGAATCTGGGAAGTAGGGAGGGCCCAGGGTCTGTCTTCTTTGTAAGAACAGCAGCAGGACGGTGCAAAGAAAGGTTGAACTGGCCAGCTGGGCTAGGAGTTGAAAACCCTGGCTCGATGCCCCTGGGTGGAGACACCTCCCATGATCCATGACAAACACTGCCTCAGGGACTTGCAAGAAGGACAGCACACGATCACTAAATACTGTTTAATTCCCAGCCTAGCTGCCCTCCACTACTCTGGCGGAGGGGGTGGGGGTGGAGGTGGTGGAGGCGACTCCTCTAGAGGAGCCTCCACGGGGATGGTCATGAGGCCATGGTTCTCCAAGGACGGCATCATGGATACCTCCAGGTCAGGGTCCATGAGGTGGGACTCCACGTGCACCGAGTGCAGGTCAATGCGATCTTCCTGGACCCCGTAGGACCCCATCAACCTGCATGATGGACTATGTCAGCACGATCTGGCAGGGCCTTGGCCACCCAAGAGAAGCCAGCCCCTGGGGACATTATTCTAGATGCCACCGTGGTCTGTACTTCCAGGAGGGGGCAGAGAGAGGACATAGCTCACCCTTGAGGCTTCACCTGGCACACTTACCTGTTTTCCATGTGTCTGTGTCCGGGGCACGCGTCACTGAGGGGGACAAAGGCAGGTGTGAATTCTCTGGAGAGGCACTCATTTCACATGCCTGGGAGCTCTGCCTATGACCCCCATGCCCAACGCACACCCTGGAAACCACTCTCCCAGCCTCTCATGACACACCACCCTGCCAGAGGCCCCTCAAAGGCATGACTGACAGCCCAGGGCCATAGCAGGCCTCACTCCCACTTTGCCCAACCCGGAGTTCACGCACCCCTTGGCCCGAAAGACACCAATCGCCACAACAACGAGGGCACAGAAGCAGCTGGCACTGACACCAGCCAGCACCACAATGAGGGCAATAAGGGCGTCGCGGCTGAGGCCAAGGCTGCATTCACAGTAGGTTCCAGCTGCAGAAACAAGGCCACAAGACCGGGGGCTAATCACCTGCCTGTGGACGGCCTCAGGCCCACCCCCAACCCCAGGGGCTCTCAGGACGCAAATGGCTTGCCCTGCCTGGAAAGGGAAGGGGCTCTGGCTGGGGGCTAGCGGGAGGAGGCACCTGCAGCAGGGATGAGCAAAAGGGACAAACATATCAGGCCAAGGGGGCTGCCAGCTGGGCAGGAGTCAGACTGGGGACAGGGGGCCATGTCCAGCCCCCAGCCCCACCACATACCTCTAGACGGAACTCACTGGAAGGTGCTGACCTCACAGTGGGGCTGTGAGGCAGACGGTGTGGGGGCAGGGCCTCAGAGCACCCAGGCTGGCTTGAACTTCATTCAAGCTTGGGTGCTGGGATTCCAGAAGTCCTAGGCAGACAGCCATGGATGGAGCAGGTAAAGGGACAGGGTTTGCAAGGTCTAGCCAGATCTGCATAAGGGGACAGAAGGGCTACAACTTTAAAGATAGACGACACTTCTAGTTAAGTGGGTGAGGACCCTTCTTTGATCTCTGGTGTTGGGCACCAAGGCCTCTGTTTGTTTTTCAACATCAGAGCTCTGAGTAAGGTTAGGGTTCTACAAGCCTTTCTGACAACGAAACCCTCCCCAAGATGAGGCAGGTAGGGGACAATGGGAGGTGGGGTAGGTACATGTGTTCAGTTGCCCTCCTCGGTTGCTTTGGAGGACTGAGCTCAGACAGCCTTTAAAGCCCAGGTTAGAGGACTGCTGGTATCCTAAGGAATCCTTCATCATCCACTGGAATGGGAGAGCCACTGGCTATATATGCCTGAGCAGGACTTCATGCCATATCCTTAGAATATTACCCCAAGGGAGCAGATGGCTCAGAAAGGGTTATAGTCTCTGGCTCACACCTGTTATTAGTTAATAATAGATCATTAGCCAGTACTCTGAGGCTCTTTTGCCTCTGTGATCAGAAAGTCACTGCCCAAGGGAACTAGTTTGCCTTAGGCTGGCATGATCAGGGTTAAACCTACATCTCTGTCCTGAACTTGGTGTCCCAGGCTGGAAGGCGGTGCAGCCCCACCCTGCTGCCACTCTCCTCCGTGAGCCAAGCAAACTAAGAGGCAGGAGGAGGAAATGTCAGCCTTGCAGCTGAGCGAGCCCAGCCTCCTGCCAGCTGGGACCAACAGGGTGCCAGTAGGGGAGGGCACAGCTTGAACCCAGTGGCCCTCATCCCTGGGGACATCCCTGAGAGCAGACACAGGTGCTCTTCTAGGGTTGGTCGTCAAGGAACGGTAGGAGCTCCTGGCATGAGCTTTGTATTGGTTAAACGATGAGAACCAGACTTCCTCTCTGGTCCTTAGGGCACATCCACAAACAGTCTAAAGGAATGCAGGACAGAAGGTGTGCCTGAGGCCCAGGGGCTGGCACTGTCACCCTGCCAGGCCAGACTAGCAAGTTTATATCCTGGTTAGGACAAAGACACACCCATCTGTGGCCAGGTGGTATGAACCAGATAGGAACACCTTCATGGCCTCTGCTGTCACCAGAACTCAGAGGGACAGTTCTTGTCACAATAGCACTTAAGTTGGGTGGGGGCAGGGTCTGAGAACCGGAACTAAAGAACAAAGCTCATTCCTGAAGTAATGTGAACAAGGCTTCCTGGGTTTATGGGAACCCTTAGGCTTGGCCAAGGTTGTGTGCCTTATACCAGCTCCACCTCCTTAAAACCTGAGGCCAAAGATGTCTCTAGAACAGGAAGAGTATCCAGGTGGTGGTAGCCCAAGTCAGGTGGTGGTGGTGCACGCCTTTAATCCCAGAACTCAGGAGGCAGAGGTAGGCGGATCTCTGCGAGTTCAAGGCCAGTCTGGTCTACAGAGTGAGTTTCAGGACAGCCTCCAAAGCCACAGAGAAACTCTGTCTCGAAAAACAAAACAAAATAAAACAAAAAGGAATAGGAAGATAGGAAGGGTGAGGTGAAACTTTTGAAGGGGGTTTCTGCTCAGGACCCAGGTGCAGAATAAGTCAAAGCCGGTAGCTGAGGATGAGAGAGAGGTGCTTCTGTAGATCAGCTGGGGCTGAGGGGACTAAGAAGGGCATCTGGGAGCAGTCAGCAGCTGAAACTGGGTGTGGCTCGTGACCTGGGATCCACCTTGGGCAAAGATCAGGGTGTGCAATGACTCCAAAGGACTTGTTCTCTTTGAGAATGATACCTCAGGTCAGGCTATTTCCTGACTGAAAACAAGGAGACAGGAGACCATGCTGTGTTCACCAGGTTATACCCTGGTCTCAACTGCCACATGAGACACAACCTACTCTCCCAAGGGTGTGTGAGCCCTAACTTGAGGGAAAGGAGTAAGGTGGTTCCTCTCACCCCTGCCCTTGTCCTATAACTCTGACTGCAGGTCTTTTGTTTTTGTGTTTTGTTTTGTTTTGTTTTTGTTTTGTTTTTTTTGGTATTTCGAGACAGGGTTTCTCTGTATTGCTTTGGAGGCTGTCCTGGAACTCACTCTGTAGACCAGGCTGGCCTCAAACTCACAGAGATCCTCCTGCCCAACATGACAGCAGGTCTTGAGGACATGAAAGAGTCTAAGTGCATACATTTAAGCTCCAAGCAGTTATGGTCACATATTCTGGTGCAAGAAAGGGGACTAAGGCCTAATCCTCTGGCCATTAGGGTATGTCCTGCTGGACGCAAGGATTTGACTCAGGTTGCCTCACCTTGGAAGATCTGATGGAGTGCAAATGTTCTTACAGCACAAAGGCTGGCACTGACTCCACAAAGTCTGCCCAGATGTGAGGACCCAAGAGTTCCCTTAGAGACCACAAAAGCAGAATGGCACTACAGGTCTAACCCGGAGACTCTAGGCAGCTAACCTTATTTATTCTTACCCAAACAAGTCCCAGCATGGGTCCTGGGAAGCCTATAGAAAACAGACAGCTTCAGGGGATCTATTACCCAAACAGAAGTACAAGCTGGGATAAGCCTGGCTGCTGGTTCCCTGTAGAGCTAAGGTAGGGTGGCCATAGAGTGCAAACCTGTATGTGTTGTCCATGGGGTAGAAAAAACTACACAAAAGGATGAACCAATCTACTTTAATTTGTACTCTGGGCGTTAGGCAGGGAATGGGTGGAGACTGGGCACATGGACATGGGGACAGAAGGTGCCATAGCTGTCTTTTCAGGGGCCACACAGGCATGAATGCTGTGGGTCAGAGCCTGGAAGGGGACATCAGTTGCAACTCTTAGGCAGGCGGTAGACACCTGCAGAGTAGATGAGCTGCTGGTCACGGACCTTCTTCTGCAGGTAGCCCTGGAGTTCCTGCAGGTCAATCTCAGCCAGGGCAGGGCCAGTCATTACAAACATTCGGAGCATGCTGTAGATGCGCTCCAGAGAAAGGCTTTCTAGGTTGGTCAACATGGCCTGGATGTACGTCCAGAAGAGCTAGGAACAAAAGTCAGGCATGGTTAGTCAGCCACCTACTTGGCCCTCCCCTAGCCCACTATGGAAGTGACTAACGCACCAGCAGTTCCTCTTCCTTCTGGTCAGCCTGGGAGGCCATGCCTGAGTCGCTCTCATCATCACTGTCAATCAGCACCATGTTGTCCCTGTCCTGGGGCCGCTCCTCCTCAATAACAGAGAAGGTGCCTGGAGGCTCCTCCCGCAGCACACCCTGCTGCAGCCACACTGACATACGCCTCCGCAGCAACGCCACAGGCATCTTCACCACCTTGCTCAGCTCCTCCAGGGTCCAGCTGGCTGTGTGCAGAGCCACATGAATGCTGGGGACACTGGAGATTACACCTTCTAATTCCTGTTAGCCAGCTGGGCCCCCAGAGGGATATGCACTGTCCAGCTTGACTCATGGGTAAAAAGAATGACTGCTACCTCTAAATCCTGCCCAAACCGGGGTGGCAGTGTGTCACCTCACAGATCATTAGAGAGTAGTACCTAGCACTGGCCCAAGGTAGTAAGCTCAGGCAGACCAGGTGGGGTCCTAGGGACTTACCTTGGTCCTGGAAATACAGCAAGACCACTGCCTGCACTGGGGTCACTGCAACAGACAGGGTGCGGTCAGCCAGCTCTACATCCATTGTCACCAAGCCCAGGGTGTGCTTCCAGCTGAGGGTCCGCATAGCCTGGGCAGGAATCAGCAAGAATAAGTCAGATGAACAAGGCACAGGCTCATACGGCATGTCACCTGGCAAGGAATGACTCCTGCACCAATGGTCTATACCAACACCATCCCTGGAAGGCAGCAGCAAGAATAGGAGACCTTGTTCCAGTGCCCAGCTCCTGAGCAACCATAACAACAATGGGCACTGCTGATAAATTGTGTCTCTCTCTTGTTGGAGCCTTTAGTACCGCAGAATATGAGCTATTTGCAAACAGAGTTCATGTAGGTGTAATTAGTTACGAAGAGGTCATACTGAAGTAGGGTGGGCCTTAATCTAATAAAACCTGCATTATTCCAAGAAAAGGACAAGGTTAAAACACAGACACAGAAGGTAGTGGCTGTGAGGCATAAAGTATGGTGATACACCAAAAGCTGGGGAAGCAAGGGAGTGCTTTCTTACAGGTATCAGAAGGAGCTGGGTGGTGGCGCACGCCTTTAATCCCAGCACTGGGAGGCAGAGGCAGGCGGACCTCTGTGAGTTCCAGGCCAGTCTGGTCTACAGAGTTCCAGGACAGCCAGGGCTACACAGAGAAACCATCTCAAATAAATAAATAAATGAAATAGGTGTCAGAAAGAGCACAGTGTTGTCAACACCCTGATACCGAACTTCCACTTTCCAGAACTAAAACATACTTCTGTTGTTTAAACTACCCAGTCCCTAACACTTTGCTATAGTAGTCACAATAAATGAAGATTCTGCCAGGCAGTGATAGCACATGCCTTTAATCTCAGCACTTGGGAGGCAGAAACCAGCCTGAGTTTAAGGCCAGCCTGCTCTACAGAGTGAGTTCCAAGACAGCTAGAGCTACACAGAGAAACCCTATTTCAAAAGGCCCCCCCAAGGCGGGGGTGGGGGTGGGGGGGTAGGGGTGGGGGAGGCGATGGTGGTGCACACCTTTAATCCCAGCACTTGGGAGGCAGAGGCAGGCGGATCTCTGTGAGTTCGAGGACAGCCTGGTCTACAAGAGCTAGTTCCAGGACAGCCAGCCACAGAGAAACCCTGTCTCGAAAAACCAAAAAAACACCAAGAAGATTCTGTTTCCAGGGAGTGTTACTACCATATAAATGAACAGCTGAAATACTGAAGTGGT